CAGCGTGTCTGAAACAGATAGCTTGGTTGTAATAGTTTGCTGGACTGTATTTCCAGAAACTTGGGCTCTGTTTCTAGCTATACTTTGAGTTAGCCCAGTGGGTTTCAAACTTAAAGATATGTAATAAATATAAGAATCACCTGGGAGATGGCTAAAATGCTGTTCCTACCCTCAGTAATTCTGATGTGCTATTCAGGAATCTGCCTCTTCAATGAGTTACCTATGTAATTCTGATGCAGAATTTTGTACCTTGAGAAACATTGTACTAGTAATTTGATCAATAAGTCCACTTTTTCTTCTCTAAGCCTATGTTTTTCATTTCTGAAAGGACAGGATTAAAGAACTCTTAAGTTCCTTCTTAACTTTTAAATTCTTTTTATTCTATGAAATATATTAACATTGTCTTTGGCCATACCACCCTGAATACTCCTGATCTCGTCTGAAATATATTGCCATACTACATGAATAACATACTACAGGTGTTCATATATATGTATAGATAGATGAACATATCGTTAAAGATGGATATATTCATGTATGGCTAGATTCATGTATTACACGTATTATTTTTGCACTGGGAAGCCTCAATGTGGCCTTCATGTATTACTTTTTTATTATTCATGTATTATGCATAAAAATGCATGTGGATTACATTTAGCAGACAGATTAAACTTTTCAAAATGGAATGTAGCCCATAGCTAAATTAAGTTCTTGACTTTTTTTGTGTTTGGTGTGGGTGTTGTCATAGCCCAAACAGATGATGCCATGAGGTGCTCGGTTAGATTTTTGGATAAATTGGAGAGGAGAAATCTATTAATATTTTTATGGGACCTCGTCTTCTTGGTATTTTGGGTTGTAGCAGGAACTTTGTCTGGATTTTTCCTCATGATTATTTGCCAGATTATTGTGGCTGCATCGGGAAATTTCAAACTATTTATGTCCTATAGAACTTAAACAGCACAACCCTTACCTTAAAGTAGTTTTAGGAAGTCTTAGGCAGTGTAAAAAAAAGTGGGGGACTTAGTACTAGCTGGGTGTGGATTTCTGTGCTGTTCTGGTGGAGGGAGAGCTGCAGAAACCTCAGGACACTGGAGCATTACTCGGAGTGTTTTGGAACATAATAATTATGGGGTGGAACTTTGCTCATGTTTTCCTCATTGAGTCCAAGGCTGCCAGGATACTTAGGAGTGAGAGGCCAGTAAAGGGATTGAGAGAAAGGTCAATTTCAAGACTTTTTTTCAAGCACTAAGTAATTCTTTCTTTAACATCTGGGTTCTTTTAGTAAAATTGTGCATGAGCTATAAATAGTGATTCAAAGAACCATGCATGGATCTTCTCTGAGGTCTCTGCCTATCTCTTAATGGTACAACTGGTGGCTACTTATCTACTAATGTTTACTGAGCATCTACTCAGTCCACAGCAGAAGTGGGGAAAGGGAATATGAATAAGAAGATCCAAAATCAGGTTGGGGCAGAAGAACTATGAATATATAAAAATTATGAGAAGAAAATTATTTTTATTGTCTTGTATTATATAGATATATGTTATGTATCTATTAGTATAATTTATGTTATGCGTTTTTATCTTAATTATGAATATGATTTATCTTCTTTTCTACAAACTTAAATATACCAGATCAAAAAATTAATTAACTGACTTTAAAAACTGCATTGTATGTTTAGAACTAACAGGACAGAACTAACAGTAGAACTCCTGAACCAGGCAGCTGTGGGTTTTTGCTTAGTTCTCTGGTTTACAAGGCTGTGTGTCCTTGGGCCAGTTATTTAACCTCACCTTGATTATCTGTAAGATGGGGATTTCATGGCATGGTAATTGAGAACACAGGTTCTAGAGCCAGACAGCCAAGGTTCAAATTCTGGATGTGTAACGTTGGATAAATTACTGTACCCCCTTTTACTCATCGATA